TGCTGTCCGGGTGATGGGAGAGCTTTGGAAGAGAACAAGGCACAGGGCTTTTGTGTTTGCGGACACCCCGCTTTGGCAGAGCAGAGCAAGTCCCAGAGCCACTGCAGGGACAAAGGGTTGCAGGAAGCTGCAGGAGGAAGGGGACACTTGACACACACAAATAAGAAATGGAGAGGCTTGAAGTGTGGCTTAGTGGGAGAGTGCTTGTCTAGCTTGCATGAAGCCCTGGGTTCGATTCCTCAGTACCACATACACAGAAAAAGGCTGAAGTGGCATTGTGGCTCAAATGGTAGAATGCTAACCTTGAGCAAATGAAGCTCAGGGACAGTGCCCAAGCCCTGAGTTCAAGCCCCAGGACTGGCAAAAGAAAAGAAACGGAGTCTCCAGGTACCAATGGCCCACACTTGTCATCATAGCTACTCAGGAGGCTGAAATCTGAGGATTGCAGTTCAAAGCCAGACTAGGCAGGAAAGTCTGAGAGACTCTTATCTCTAATGAACCACCAGCAAACCGGAAGTAGGGCTGTGACTCAAGTGGTAGAGTGGTAGCCCTGAGCAAAAAATACGAAGGGTCAGCACCCAAGCCCAGAGTTCAAGCCCCACAACCAATTTTTAAAAAAAGGGAAAAAAAAGAAATGGAGTTACTGGACACTATTCACTCATGCCTGTAGTTCCAACTAGTCAGGAGGCTCAGATAGGTAGCTCACGCCTATAATCCTAGTTAGTCAAGAGGCTGAGATCTGAGGATCATGGTTCAAAGCCAGTCCGGGCAGGAAAGTCCATGAAGCTCTTATCTCCAATGAACTACCAGACAACCAGAAGTGGTGCTGTAGTTCAAGTGGTAGAGTGCTAGCCTTGAACTGAAGAGATCAGGGACAGGACCCAGGCCCAGAGTTCAAGCCCCACAAATGACAAAAAGAAAATCCTTTTTCCTCTTTCTTCCAGAAAGCAATCATTTGCCTGATGCTGTGTTGATTTCAGGGGCCAAGTCAGTTATTTCTAGGTTCCTAATGTTATTATAGCAGAAGATGGGTTAAGACACTTGCAGTGTGTTTGTGGGGTAGTGTTCATACTCAGGACTTGCTGGGCTGGGGGTAGGAAAGGTTTGAGGACACAGGGTGTCCATTCAACCCCAATTGACGGTAGCTTCTAGAATCACAGCTACACAATTCCCCAGGTTCCTGCAGAATAAGGACAGCAACTTTCACAACATCAGCTTGCGATCCACGAGTGTGTCCCTGACGGCCAGCCAGGGCCAGGCGCCCAGCAAACCTTTTCAACAGGGTCCCTGCAGCTGGCTTGTTTGCCTGTTTCTACCTCCCCTCCTCCCGCTCCTCTTCTCTCTCTCTCTCTCTCTCTCTCTCTCTCTCATCCTCTGTCCCCCCTCTCTCTTTCTCTTTCTTCCTTTTTCCCTTCCTTCCTTCCTTTCTCTTTCTTTCCTTCTTTCCTTCCTTCCTTCCTTTCTTTCCTTTTTCTTTCTTTCCTTTTTCTTTGTTTCCTTTTTCTTTCTTTCTTGCCCCTACTTGAACTCAGGGACTTGAGTTCTTGCTTGGCTTTTTTTTTTCCCCTTCAAGACTGGCAGTCTACCAATTGAGCCACACAACTTTTTTTGTATTTATTTTTCTTCTCGTTATTATAAAGGTATTGTACAGAGGGGTGACAGGTCAGGTAAGGAGTACATTTCTTTTTTTTGGGGGGGAGGGGTCCGGTCGTGGGGCTTGAACTCTGGGACTGGGCGCTGTCCCTCAGCTCTTCAGCTCAAGGCTAGCGCTCTACCACTTGAGCCACAGCGCCACTTTCGGCTTTTTTCTTTTCGCTTATGTGGTGCTGAGGAATCGAACCCAGGGCCTCATGCATGCAAGGCAAGCGCTCTACCACTGAGCCATCTTCCCAGCCCCCAGACTTTTTTTGTGTGTTTTGTTTTTTGGGGCTCGAACTCAGGGCTTGAGCGCTATCCCTTAGCTCTTCAGCTCAAGGCGAGCACTCTACCGGTTGAGCCACAGTGCCACTTCCGGTTTTCTAGTGGTTTATTGGAGATAAGAGTCTCATGGGCTTTCCTGCCCAGGCTGGCTTTGAATCGTGATCCTCAGATCTCAGCCTCCTGAATTGCTAGGATTACAGGCCTGAGCCACCAGTGCCCAGCTCAGACTCTTATCTCTAATGAACTACCAGAAAACAGGAAGTGGAACTGTGGCTCAAGTGGCAGAGCACTAGCCTTGAGCTGAAGAGCTGAGGGACAGCGCCCAGGCCCAGAGTTCAGGCCTCATGACCAGAAGAAAAAAAAAAAGCAAAAGTAAAAAAGAAGCTGAATATGAGTTGGGTCTTTGCAGCCCTACAATGTCCAGGACAGCAGCTCTGGAAGGCTACACTTTGTAGATCTTGCTGGAACACACACACAGAATATGGGCCAATGCATGGATAGACACCCAGGCATGAGGTAGAAGAGACTGGAGTTTGACTAAAGTCTGAACCCCGGCCGCCCCACCCACCCCAGCCCCAAGCCAGACTCAGGCAATCCAAAACAGGTTTTCTTCTCCTCTTGTTCCAGGTTTGTGAGGCGGCAGGTTTGCACATCAGATGTTCATTTATAGAGTGCTAGACTACACCTGCTTCGTGCCAGCCTTGTGCTTTGCGAACCATTTTCTTCTGGGAAAAAAAAATATTATTTTTAAATAACATCCAGGCTAAACATACCTATCATCTTTAGGCATATTTTTCCCCTTCTAAAATGTACTGGTTGTTGATGCTCAAAACCTCCCTCTGAAAGCCAGGGCACCGTGGCTCAAGCCTGTAATCTTAGCTACTCAGGAGGCTGAGATCTGAGGATGGCGGTTCAAAGCCAGCCTGGGCAGAAAAGATTGTGAGACTCCCCTTCTTAACCAGGTGTGGTGGTGGGTGCCTGTCATCCTTACTACATGCCAGAGATCAGGAGGATCAAGGTTCCAAACCCATCTTGGCAAATAATAATAAGTCCATTAGACTCCATGTCAGTGGAAAGAAATTGGGTGTGGTATCCCTTACCTTCATCCCAGCTACTATGAGGAAGATAAAAAAAGGAGGATTAAGGTCCAGGCACGTGTCCAGGCAGGAAGTAAGACCCTATCTCCAAAATTACCTAGTGCTAAAACAAAATAAAGTGAGGATAAGAGGGGGGTTGGAGATATGGCTCAGAGGTAGAGCAGCTGCCTGGCAAGCATGAGGACCTGAGTTCAAACCCCAGTACTGCCAAGAAAACCCCAAGACAAAAAAAAAAAAAAATCTCCAGCTAAAGTAGCTGTTCCTTTTTATCTAAGAGACTAGTCATTTCTTCCTTAGGCCTGATCCGCATTTTCCAAGAGCCAAGTGTTATGTTTTAGGGGACCTGCTGCTAATGAAGCACCCCTTCACCCCCTTTTCTATCTCCCAATAGTGAGTGAACTATCCGTAACCACTAAATATAAGCCCTTGGTGTTGTTGGGTGTCATTCATTCGCTAATTCATTTGTTCGTTTGGTGAAACTGGGATTTGAACTTGGGGACTCAGGCTTACTAGGCAGGCACTCTACACTGAGCCATGTGTCCACTCTGTAGGTCATTGTTTTGGAAACCAATGAAGTGGGGAAAGTTAAACGTTTTGGCCTTCTCTCTAGGTGACCTGAAACTTAGGCCAATCACATGGTTGACAAGGGAAAGTTTATCTTCCTAGAAACTTGAGTAATTAAGAATAAGATGATGGGGGCTGGGAAGGTGGCTCAGTGGTAGAGCGCTTGCCTTGCATGCATGAGGCCCTGGGTTCGATTCCTCAGCACCACATAAACAGAAAAAGCCGGAAATGGCGCTGTGGCTCCAGTGGTAGAGCACTAGCCTTGAGCTGAAGAGCTGAGGGACAGTGCCCAGGCCCAGAGTTCAGGCCCCATGATGGGCAAAAAAAAAAAAAAGAATAAGACGATGAAAATACCATTTTACAAACCTTAATGTGTGCATGGATCTAGGAAGCGACCATCAATGGCTGTTCACATCCTAAAAAGAATTAGAAGATATCATGTTTCTTTCTTTCTTTTCTTGTGTCAGTAATGGGGCTTGAACTCAAGACCTGAGCACTGTCCCTGAACTTTTTTACTCAAGTTAGTGCTCTACCATTTGAGCCCACAGCTCCACCTTTTTTGCTGGTTCATTGGAAAGAAGAGTCTCACAGACTTTTTTTGCCCAGGCTGAGTTCAAGTAGTGATCCTCAGATCTCAGCCTCCTGAGTGGCTGGGATGGCAGGCGGGAGCCTCCACCATAGACCCCTGAACAACTTTCTGAGACAATGACCAATGTTTCTAGCACACTGTATAGGAAAAATGAGATTGAGGGGAAATCTGGCCTAATTTCTAAAAAAAAAAAAAAAAAAAAAATTGTAGGACAAACCAAAATGTGAACTATACTTAGTTATTTGATTATATTAAAAATATAGTCTTGTCCAGGTACCGGTGGCTCATGCCTCTCATCCTAGCTACTCAGGAGGCTGAGATCTGAGGATTATGGTTCAAAGCCAGCCCTAGCAAGAAAGTCCGTAAGACTCTTATCTCCAATTCGTAAGCAAAAAAGCTGCACATGGAGCTGTGACGCAAGTGGTGGAGCACTCTGAGCAAAAGCAGCTGAGGGACAGCGCAAAGACAATATTGTGGACTTTGGGTACGGTAATTTCACATTTTGTCTTTCTTCCTCCTTCAAGCTAAAAAAAAAACAAACAGAGCTAAGGGTGTGGCTCAAGTGGTCAATCCCCAGCCTAACAAGCCGGAGATCCTGAGTTCAACCCAGTGTTGCCAAAGAGACAGAGACAGAAACAGTGAGAAAGAGGATCGAGTCAATGTTACCTGGTGGAGAAATGTGCAAAGCACACCTCCATTTGGGGATGGGCTGAGGAGGGCTTCCTGGTAGTATCAGAAGGTCACAAGTTCCTGTTTGTCTTTTCAGGACACTCCGTGGAAATGCTGCAGGAGTAGGGACAGCTGAGCCCCGTTAGCCACCACGCCCACCCATGGCCCTGGCTGCGTCTTTCAACATGACCGATACACAGTAAGTACCGCCACCGCCGGGACCTTCCCTCTACATCCAGGGTGCTGCTCTGAGTCTCCTGGGATTTTCTCACTCAGGCAACTAGAATATATTTCCCTTTGCAGGAGGCCACCCGTCCCCTCGAAAAATAAAAAATGGGGAAATGTTACGAAAGGTATCTTCAAAACCAGATTAAGAGCCTGGTGCCTGTTATTCATGCCTATAATCCCAGCCACTCAAGAAGCTTGAGATCTGAGGATCAACATTTGAAGCCAGCCTGGGTAGAAAAATTCATGGGACTCTTAGCACCAATAAATCAGCAAAAAAAGACAGAAGTCAAGGTATGGCTCAAGTGGTAGAGCACCCAGTCTTGAGTGAAAAATCCATGCAGAGCATGAGGCTCTGAGTTCAAGCCCCAGTACCAGCACACATACATAGTTTTGTTTTTTCTTTTTTATTATATATTTTTTGGGAGGGGTCCATTCGTGAGGCCTGAATTCTGGGCTTGGGCGCTGTCCCTCTTCTCTTTAGCTCAAGGCTAGCGCTCTACCACTTGAGCCACAGCACCACTTCTGGCTTTTTTCTTTTTGCTTATGTGATGCTGAGGAATTGAACCCAGGGCCTCAGGCATGCAAGGCAAGCGCTCTACCACTGAGCCACCTTCCCAGCCCTATATATATTTTTTAATTGTAAAAATATTGTACAGAGGGGTTACAGTTACATGAATAGGGTATTGAGTACATTTCATAGCGAGCATTTTTACCTCCTGCTACACACATATTTTTTAAAAAATTGAACCATTAACAAATTTTGTCTACCACACAATTCTTCATAGGCAAGACTAGTGTATCTCAGGACTTAGGCCACAAACTGTTCCTCTTTTTATTGTTGGTTATGAGACTTGAACTCAGAGCCTGGGCGCTGTCCCTGAGCTCTTTTGCCTCAAGGCTGGCACTCTACCACTTTGAGTCACAGCTCTATTGCCAGTTTTCTGGTGGTTAATTGAAGCGTCTCACAGACTTTCCTGCCTGGGCTGGCTTTGAACCCCTAATCCTCAAATCTCAGCCTCCTGAGTAGCTGGGATTACAGGTGTGAGCCACCAGCTCTGGGTGAACTGTGGGATCTTTATCCCCACTAAGTGAAGCCCATCTGTCTACTGAAATGATAGCATGGCCATAGAGGAGCTCAGCTCTCTACCATGGGACTGGAGCATGGGAAATGCAGCAAGGCAGAAGTAATTTATTCCATGCTTTTCCCAGCCATATCTCCAGAGTGAGTCTCAGACGCTCAAACACTGTTGTGACAAATGTTCTATTTGTTCAGCTCAAAAAAAAAAAAAAAATCACTGGGCACTGGTGGCTCACACTTGTAATCCCAGCTACTCAGGAGGCTGAGATCTGAGGATTGCAACTCAAAGCCAGCCCAGGTGGGAAAGTCATGAGACTCTTCTCTCCAGTGAACCACCAAAAATCTGAAAGTGGTGCTGTGGCTTAAATGGTAGAGCACCAGCCTTGAGCAGAAAAAGCTCAGAAACAGTGCCCAGGCCCTGAGTTCAAGCCTCAGGACTGGAGCATGAGCGCGCGCGCGCGCACACACACACACACACACACACACACACACACACACACACACACAATTTCCTTGAAAGTCCCTAAGAATAGAATAAATACAACCCAACATCTGCTCCGGGGACTCATCAGGCAGAAGCAGGGCTCCCTTCATAAGCACCCACTCTTTTTTCTCAATTGTTAAGCCACACAGGAGCATCCTCCGCCCTGAGCTACTATTATCTGAACTCAACAGAGAGCAAATGCAAAACTTGAAATAAGGCCTACCAAAGAGAAGCGCGAATTCACAGCCCGGACTGCCTGTGGCCTCCAAATTAACACACAAACAAAATCTCGCTTTCCCTCAATTATGTAGTTGATCCAAGAAGGGGGAGAGGGAAGGGAGAGGAAAAGGAAGAGAGAGAGAGAGAGAAAGAAATAGACAGATTCTGCTTTGAACCTCCAAGATAACTGCTGCTATGTGTTGCTATTGTCAGGATTTATGGGTTGTCAGAAAAGTTTAGAATTAGCCGGGGGCTGGTGGCTCACACCTGTAATCCTAGCTACTCAGGAGGCTGAGATCTGAGGATAGCGGTTCAAAGCCATCCCAGGCAGGAAAGTCCGTGAAACTCTTATCTCCAATAAACCACCAGAAAACTGGAAGTGGCACTGTGGCTCAAGTGGTAGAGTGCTAGCCTTGAGCTGAAGAGCTGAGGGACAGCGCCCAGGCCCAGAGTTCAAGCCCCATGACCAACATACACACAAAAAAAGAAAAGTTTAGAATTGAGGCTGGGGAGGTGGTTTAGTGGTAGAGTGCTTGCCTAGCATGCATGAAGCCCTGGGCGCAATTCCCCAGTATCACATAAACAGAAATGGCTGGAAGTGGTGCTGTGGCTCAAGTGGTAGAGTGCTAGCCTTGAGCAAAAGCAGCTCAGGGACAGCGCCCAGGCCCTGAGTTCAAGCCCCAGGACTGGCAAAAAAGAAAGAAAGAGGGGGAAGGGAAGGAAGGAAGGAAGAGAAAGAAAGGAAAGAAAAAAAGAATTAATTTAGAATTTGGGGTTCCCCCAAATAGCAGAAAACCAAATACTGGGCTTGTTGCTCCAGAGCCTCTCTAACATGCTGCAAATTTCTTTTTTTTTTTTTTTTGGGTCCGGTCGTGGGGCCTGAACTCTGGGCCTGGGCGCTGTCCCTCAGCTCTTCAGCTCAAGGCTAGCGCTCTACCACTTGAGCCACAGCGCCACTTCCGGCTTTTTTCTTTTTGCTTATGTGGTGCTAAGGAATCAAACCCAGGGCCTCAGGCATGCAAGGCAAGCGCTCTACCACTGAGCCACCTTCCCAGCCCTGCAAATTTCTTTTCTTTCATTTCTTCTTTTTCTTTTTCTTTTCTTTTTTTTTTTTGGTGCCAGTACTAGAGCTTGAACTCAGGGCCTGGACACTGTCCCTTAGCTCTTTCACTCAAGGCTGGCACTCTACCACTTGAACCATGCCATCACTTCCAACTTTTTGGTGGCTAATTAGAGATAAGAGTCTCATGTACTTTTCTTCCTCCCCACTTCCCCCCCCCCCCAAGCTGGCTTCCAATCTGGATCCTCAGCTCTCAACTTCCTGAGTAGCTGGGATTACAGGTGTAAGCCATTGTTCCTGGCTAAGCCTGTTCTTCTTAAGAAGGGGGCTAACTCTCCCCACCCCCACCCCCACCCCCGATTCTGGCTCTCCACACCAGGCCTGCCATTGAAGGAGGAATTTCTGAAGTTGAGATCATCTCCCACCAAGTAGAGGAAGAGAGGAAGAGCCTCACACGGGGGCCTCTGGGGGGCTTTGCCTACGGGGACCTGCCCCTGGCGCCTGTCGACCTCTCCGCCGCTGGTTCTCAGCTCCTGTCGAATCTGGATGAAGAATACCAAAGAGAAGGGTAAGTACTGGCACCCCTGGCTTTCTCTCGCACAACTCCCTGGGATTTCCTGGCATGCCTCCCCTTGCCCCCCAAGAGGCAGCCAGGCGATTAGAGAAGCTGCAGGGTGAGCAATCAGTTCACTGTCACACTACTCCAGGCGCTTTTGTCCTTAGACATGAGTTTCTCTGGGACAGGGTCAGCTCTTCTGTCTTTTTTTATTTTTGGTCAGTCGTTGGGCCAGTCGTTGGGCTTGAACTCAGGGCCCCGGCACTGTCCTAAGCTGCTGCCCTCTGGTGGTCAGACGCAGTACTGCAGTCTTCTAACACTGGTTTCTTTTAACTGCCCAGGGCTCTTCCGGGTCCTGCCCTGTGCAACCCAATTCACTGGGAAATGGTTTAGAGGTGGGGTGTAGCCGCTGTACGTGTGCACCACACACCCAGCCTGAACTCCGGGGAGAAGGCTGTCAGCAGCCTCACCCTACCCTTCCAGCCACAATTGCTTTCCCAAACACATAGACAGGCTCAGGGAGATTTTTAGAAAGGCAGGCGGTCAGCTGGGTGCAGTGGCTCCCGCCTGCCATCCCAGCAGCTCAGGAGGCTGAGGTCTGAGGAAAGCCAGCCCGGGCAGGAAAGTCCATAAGACTCTTACGTCCAATGAACCACCAGAAAACCAAAGTGGCACTGTGTGGCTCAAGTGGTAGAGCGCTCACCTTGAGCTGAAGAGCTCAGGGACAGCACCCAGGCCCAGAGTTCAAGCCCCATGACTGACAAAAAAAGAAAGTGTCACTCACACGCTGATCAGGTCCCCTCTTAGAGCGGTTGCCGCTGGAGACGGAAGTGTGGGCCATGGGGCCTCTCAATCCAACCAGGCTGCCCTGAAGTTCCCCCAATCCCCTCCTGTCATCGCAGACAAACCTCCTCTCCTTCTTTCCCCTAAATTAGGAATCGTCCAAGGTAATCTGTTCCCCACCCCAGGTCTCTTCCCGCCGCCGGGCCCTGGCTCATTCCCCAAGCTTGCTTTGCATGGGCGCCTCTCACCCCAACCGGAAGCTTCCTCCTGTCCGTCACACGCTGAAGTCTCTCCCGTTCCTTCCACACACACACACACACACACACACACACACACACACACACACACCCCTGAGCCTCCTCCTTCTCCTCTGATGTTCCTTCTGGAGGCTGAGATCTGAGGATCGCAGTTCAAAGCTAGCCCAGGCAGGAAAGTCCATGAGACTCATATTATCTCCAGTTAACCATTAAAAAAAAAAAAAAAGGCCAGGAGTGGAGGTGTGGCTTAAGTGGTAGAGTGCCAGCCTGAAGCAAGGAAATTCAAGGAGAGCACCCAGGCCCTGAGTTCAAGCCAGAGGACCAGCAAACCTCCCCCCCCCAAAAAAAAAAAGAAAAGAAAAAGAATGAATGAATAAATGAACGAATGAAATCAAGTGTGCCTCAGATCACGCCAACTTTACCTGTAAGAGTTCGTGCCCTCCTTTTGGCTGGGCCCCTGTGAGGTCAGGTGATCTGTGCGGGCTTTGGCCTCATCCCTGCCCCTCCCCCAGGAGGCTTCTCCAAGCCCCAGCCAGAAATCACACTGGTTCCAGTGTTTTTGCTTAATCCTAGCAAATAACAAGTTAGATTGTGTCTCTGTCGTCCAAGCACCCCTGCCCCTGCCCATCACACCCCGTTTTCCTCCATTAAGAAAGCAATCAATTCACAAGATACTATCAACCCATCCTTCCCCCTGCAACTCACAGGCTGCACTGCCGGTGTGACCACCAGATGGCAGCAGAGAGGCCCTCCCCCCCCCCCCCCCCCAAGGTGGCAGGAGATGGGGAAGGAAAAGAAAGTGAGCTAAGTTTATGGCATCTGGGATGAGATGGGAGATCTAATCATTTACAGTCACTTAGCATCCAGACTTTGGCCCAAGAGGAAGGGGAGCATGGCCAACCCATGATTAGCCAGGCTCCAGCCAACCCTCAGGAGCACTACACAGGGGAGAAGAAGGATGGGCCTGAGCCTGTGCCACCCACATCCACACAGCTGTCCTTGCCAAACACAGCCTTGGCTGGGCGCTGGTGGCTCACGCTTCTCATCCCAGCTACTCAGGAGGCTGAGATCTGAGGATCGCAGTTCGAAGCCAGCCTGGGCAGGAAAAGTCCTGAGACTCTTATCTCCAATAAACCAGTCAGAAAACTAGAAGTAGAGCTGTGGCTCAAGTAGTAGAGGGCAAGCCTTGAGCAAAAGAGCTCAGAGACAGCACCCAGACCCTGAGTTCAAGCCCCACGACCGACACAAAAAAGAAGACAAAGCAGCTCTCCACTGCTCCCCAAATTCCACACCAAAATACCCAGTGCTTCTACCCTGCCTTCTATCATGAATTCTTCTGTAGCCAGCAACCCCAGTGCCCAGGGATCTGAGGCTTGGGAGAGGTTGGGGCCCCCAGGATCACGTCCACCCCATGCCGCAGCATGCCACCCCACACCATGTAGTCTGCTGTACCTTCCAGGGTAGGACTTGTTCTATGCCAGGCTTCGGAATACTACCCAGCCAACACCGGGACCTCCACCACCTCCTGCCAGTTTACTTCCATGCCGGGATTTCTCTGCGGCCTTAGAACTGACTTGGCAGAAGCTTGCAGTGGAATTCTCACCCCTTCTGCCAGGCAGTGCCACCTGCGTGTTGGTATTTGTGGATTTTGGCAGCCCAGGCTGCCCACAGAGCTGGCTTCTGGCTCTTGGTACCAAGGTGGGAAATAGAAGACACCTGTCATCTGGTGGTAACTTCTGGAATTGCACCACCCAGGGCCTACCCCAGGACCCTGATGCCTGATGCATTTTTAACTACTCTGGAATCTTTTGGAAACAAAGCATTCTCTTCCACTGCTAAACACAGAGCCATTTGAGTTGCAGATAATATTTTTATCAACAGCTTGGGATTTCCCAACACGGGGTCAAGCCAGAAAGCTCATTGCTCCAGCCCCAATCATTCAAGTCCCATCCCCCTAGGCTGCACTGAAGCCCTGGGGTCCAAGTCCCATTAGCAGTAACTCAGTAACTCAGTAACCATGCCCTGTGTTTCCTGATGCACACACCTGTAATCCCAGCTACACAGGCAGGCCGACATCTGAGGATCACAGTTCGAAGTCAGCCTGGGCAGAAAAATCCATGAATGAGACTCTTATCTCCAATTAAGCAGCAAGAAGTGGGAAATGGTGGTATGGCTCAAGTGGTAGAGCGGAAAAAGCAGGCAAGAGTATAAGAACCTTAGTTCAAGTCCCAATACTAGCACAAACACACACACACACACACACATACACACACACACAGCTTCAACAATCCCTCAGTGGCTGCTGGTCTTTTCCTACCCCATTTGCTGGCTAGGAACTTCTTTTTTTTTTTTTTTTTGGTTCCGGTCGTGGGGCCTGAACTCTGGTCCTGGGCACTGTCCCTCAGCTCTTCAGCTCAAGGCTAGCGCTCTACCACTTGAGCCACAGCGCCACTTCCGGCTTTTTTCTTTTTGCTTATGTAGTGCTGAGGAATCAAACCCAGGGCCTCGAGCATGCAAGGCAAGTGCTCTACTACTGAGCCACCTTCCCAGCCCTGCTGGCTAGGAACTTCTATTACCACGCTTCGCCTACCTTCTGAGACATTGCACATCGCTTTTCTGTTCTTTACTTTTTTTTTATTTTGGCAATCCTGGGATTTGAACTCAGGGTCTTGTACTTGCTAGGCAGATAGGTGTTCTTTCTGGTCAGTCATGGGGCTTGAACTCAGGGCCTGGGCACTGTCTCTGAGCTCTTCTGCTCAAGGCGAGCGCTCTACCACTTTGAGCCACAACTTCTGGTTTTCTGGTGGTTCGTTGGAGATAAGAGTCTCACGGACTTTCCTGCCTGGGCTGGCTTTGAACTGTGATCCTCAGATCTCAGCTTCCTGAGTAGCTAAGATGATAGTCGTGAGCCATCAGCGCCCAGCTCTAGGCAGACATTCTAACACTTGAGCCACCCCCTACCCATACCACAACAGCACCTAATTACCTCTCCTACCACCTACAGGAGGGCTGGATCAGAAGGTAAGAAGGAAAGCTCTCCCAACCCCTGGAGTTTTACTAAAGTGCAAATTTTGACATGATGGTTCACGCCTGTAATCTCAGCTACGCAGGAGGTAGAGACCAGGAGGATCACAACTTGAGTCCAGTCTGGGTAAAAAGTTAGTCAGACCCCTATCTAAACCACTAAGCCGGGCATCGAGGTGCACCTCAGCTCTGCAGGGAGGCAAAGGGAGGAAGATCGTGGGTTTGAAACACAAGACCCTGGCTGAATAAATAAATAAACAAACCAAAAAAAAAGAGCCGAGGGTGTGACTCAAGTCGTAGAGTACCTGCAGAGCAAGTGGAAGGTCATGAGTTCGGATCTCAGGACAGAGGAAGCTCTGGCAACTCCGAGGTGACCACTGGCCCCAGGCCCGGAGGACGTCAAGCCTCCTGCTTGTGGGCCTGCCAAGCGGACAGAGAACAGTGTTTCTGCAGTGCCAAAGTCCACCAGCAGAGGGTGCCGAGGCACCATCCACGGCCTTCGCGGTCTGGCTCAGTCCTTTCCCCGTCCCTCTGTGGACGCTCTCTCTTCCAGCCAGGCCCAGCCACACTCTCCTGGGCTCATCTCCAGTGAGCGCCTTGGCCTCTTCCATTCGCTGTCTGCCCTCCAGCTTCTGGGTCTGACCCCAGCTTCCTACGGGGCAAGGGGGACTGCGCCCCAAAGCAGTGTCTGCGGGCCCAGGGAAGGGCCTGCTGTGCACAGAGAGGTTAGAAAATACCCAGGAAGGGCTGGGAAGGTGCTCAGTGGTGGAGTGCTTGCCTTGCATGCATGAAATCCTGGGTTCGATTCCTCAGCATCACATGCACAGAAAAAGCTGGAAGTGGCGCTGTGGCTCAAGTGGTAGAGTGCTAGCCTTGAGCTGAAGAGCTGAGGGACAGTGCCCAGGCCCTGAGTTCAAGCCCCAGGACTGGTAAAAAGGAAAAACAAAATAAAATACCCAGGGAGACATGCTCGGGTTCAGCGTATGCCCAGCTCTCCTGAGCTCAGAGCCCCGCTCCCCAGGCCCTCTCTGGTGGACTGCCAAGACATCTCTGCTGGAAGGTTCCATTCACACCGGTCCTCCAGGGAGAAGGGACCAGTCAGGACAGGACTGCCCTCCCTGCCCAGTGGCACCCGAGGGCCTGTGGATGGCACAGGGCAACGGCCCGTGTCTGGGCATCAGATGTTTTATCACTGATGACCATCATCATCACCATCATCATCATCATCATCACCATGATCATTGATCATCACCATCACTATCATCATCATCGATCATTACCAATATCATCATCACCATCATCATCACCATCATCATCATCACCATGATCATTGATCATCACCATCACTATCATCATCATCATCGATCATTACTGATATCATCACCACCATGATCATCATCATCATCATCATCACCATGATCATTGATCATCACCATCACTATCATCATCATCATCGATCATTACCAATATCATCATCACCATCATCATCATCACCATGATCATTGATCATCACCATCACTATCATCATCATCACTGATCATTATCAATATCATCATCACCATCATCATCATCATCACCATGATCACCATGATCATTGATCATCACCATCTCACTATCATCATCATCATCGATCATTACTGATATCATCATCACCATCATCATCACCATCATCATCATCACCATGATCATTGATCATCACCATCACTATCATCATCATCATCGATCATTACCAATATCATCATCACCATCACCATCATCATCATCATCATCACCATGATCATTGATCATCACCATCACTATCATCATCATCATCGATCATTACCGATATCATCATCACCATCATCATCACCATCATCATCATCACCATGATCATTGATCATCACCATCACTATCATCATCATCACTGATCATTATCAATATCATCATCACCATCATCATCATCACCATGATCACCATGATCATTGATCATCACCATCACTATCATCATCATCGATCATTACTAATATCATCATCACCATCATCATCATCACCATTATCATTGATCATCACCATCACCAACATCATTGTTATCAACATCTTATCATCATCACCATCGTCATTGAAGACCATTATTGTCATCGTCATCATCACATAATTATTGATCACTATGAACATCATCACCATCACTGATCATCATTATCATCATCATTGGTCATCATCATCACCATCATCATCATCATCACCATCATCTGATCATCATCATCATCACCATCATCATCATCATCACCATCATCATTGATCATCATCACTATCATCACTGATCATCATCATCACCACCATCATTGATCATCATCACCATCATCATTGATCATCGGATCATCATCATCACCATCTCCAGCATTCCATTTCAGCCACGTGGTACGTAGCAGGTTAGAGAAGTTCTCTCATTTGCCTTTCAACAACCCCGAGAGGTAGCGTCATGCCCTCCTTTACAGACGCAGCGGCCCAGTGAGGGAGGGGCCATGCAGCTGAGGGCAGAGCGGGTCTTGACCGCCCCTTCAACCAGGGAGGGTTTGGGACCAAACCACTCAGGCAGAGCCTCACCCCCAGAGGCCCCCACTGCGTTGGAGAAGGCCCGATGTCCTAAGCCACATGCACACACGCACGCACACACACACACACACACACACACACACACACACAGCGGCTGTCTCAGGCGCTTTCGTCTCTCCTTTGCGTGTTTAATTTCATCTCTGCAAACATGGGGTAACCAGGGTGCCATGGCCCACAGACCCACATTTCCCAAATGTGCCCAACCTTGGAGACCAAGTGACCAGCGGTGAACACCGTCCAACCCACTGTGAATCGCAGGGATCGATGCAAACCTTTCCTTTCACCGCTGAAAACTAGAAAAAGGTGTTCACCAGTCCCTTGAACATTGACGAAAGGTAAACTGAGGTTCTCAATGCCCAGAGTCACCACAGGCCAGATTCCAGTAGCTCACATCTGTAATGCCCAATTTTACAGGGAGGCTGAGATCTGAGGATCCCAATCTGAAGCCAGCCAGGCTGAGGTAGACAAGTCCCAAAACACTCTTAATCTAATTAACCAGCAAAAAAAAAAAAAAGCCAGAAGTGGAGGTGTGGCTCAAGCAGTACAAGCACCAGCCTTGAGGAAAAAAAAGAAAAACACAAAGGTTGAGGAGAGGAGAAGGACCTGAGTTCTAATCCCTGCACCAGCTCCGGTGCTGAGCGTCTGCTCTCTTGCTTTGTCCCCGCAGGTCTGACTGGCTGAAGCCGTGCTGCGGGAAGAGGGCGGACGTATGGCAGGTATTTTTGCTCAGTGCAAGCCTCAACACTGTCCTGGTGGCCTGTGTCATGTTGGTGGTGGTGCTGCTGACTCTGGAACTCCTAATAGATATAAAGCTCCTCCAGTGTGAGTAGCCGGTCAGACACCTGTGCCAATCACGTACGATGTCCATATTCACTGTGCGTCTGCGTCCCCCGGGGCCCCAACCCGCGCTCTGGGAGCTGAGGCTCCGGGGAGGGCCGGGGGAGGGAGGCTGGCCGCTTCTCTGTCATGCCCAGCAGCAGTTCTCTGCCCAGTGAGGGCCTCTTCAGCTCCCTTCCCAGCACTCCATGATCCAAAACCCATGAGATTAAAACCAATCAATAGGCCGGGCACCAGAGGCTCATGCCTGTCATCCTAGCTACCCAGGAGGCTGAGATCTGAGGATCGTGGTTCAAAGCCAGCCCAGGCAGGAAAGGCCATGAGACTCTTATCTCCAATGGACCACCAGAAAACGGGAAGTGGCACTGTGGCTCTAGTGGTAGAGCGCTCGCCTTGAGCTGAAGAGCTGAGGAACAGTGTTCTCAGGCCCAGAGTTCAAGCCCCACAACCAACAACAACAAAATCAATAACAATAAACCCATGTTGGGGACCCTTGTATGCATCCTTTGAGGGAAAAAAAAGAATAATTATAAATGGTTGTCTCAAATTTTCCAGATTGGAATTTTCTCTAGTTAAAGAGTGTTCCCAGCTGGGTACCGTTTGCTCACACCTGTCATCCTAGCAACTCAGGAGGCTGAGATCTGAGGATCGTGGTTCAAAGCTAGCCTGGATAGGAAAGTCCATGAGACTCTTATCTCCATTTAAACACCAGAAAACCAGAAGTGGTGCTGTAGCTCAAAGTGGTGGAGTGCTTGCCTTGAGCACAAAAGCTCAGGGACAATGCCCAGGCCTTAAGTTCAAGCCCCAGGACTGGCACCAAAAAAAAAAAAATGGTTCCCATTGCTGGAGTGAATTATTCTGTAGTAGCTAATATTGACTAGTCGCTTTAGTTCTTTTAGTTATCTAGCCGTAAGTGGGGAAACAAGGTTGATATCCACTATATTAGATTTTCTTTTCCTCTCTCTCTCTCTCTCTGGTGCTAGTCCTGGGGCTTGAACTCATGGCCTAGGTGCTATCCCTGAGCTTTTTCACTGAAGGCTGGTGCTCTACCACTTGAACCCACAGCTCTATTTCTGTTTTGTTTTGTTGTTTTTTGTTTTTTGGGGGGGGTTTTGGTGGTCCATTGGCAATAAGAGCCTCACAGACTTTCCTGCCCGAGCTGGCTTTGAACTGTGATCCTCAGATCTCAGCCTCCTGACTCGCTAGGATGACAGGCCTGAGCACCAGCACCCGGCTTCCTGGTTGGGTTTGAAGACCACTGGTGGCTCCTTGGCCCCAGTAGAAGCATGTCCTAGCTTCAGGGGTCAGGCGGGGTTTAAACTCAGCCTGCCTTCAATTAAGCATGGCTCATGCCTTTTCTCCCACCCATCCGCCCATCCGTCCTGTCTGCTTTCTAGGACAGCTGACCCTGGTACTGGCTTGTCCTCTTGCTTCTTGGCCTTAGCTGTGACCGGGCATTGAATAGAACTGAGACCCCAGCCAACACTGGAATTTTCCTGAAAATTAAATATCCAGGAGATTGATTTTTGGGTGGGAGATCCAATATCAGCTCCTAAAAGGCATCTTAAACCCCATAAAGTGCACAATCAGATTTATGGCTCTCTAAAGCAAACCGTAAAAGAGAAAAAAGAAAAAGAAAAAAAGACACGGGAACTCATCTGAGAAACACTGGGGAAAGATGATTTTTACATTTCTAGAATCATCTGGAAGTCTCTTCAGGGTCTCCTTCTGGTTCCCATAGGCCCCCGTGTATACGGCTCTGAGCAAAGTAATTCAGGCATCTCTGGGGCTCATCTTCCAAGGCCCAAAGCCAGGGGAGCCCCGTCCCCAAGTATCCCACTGGAGTCTGGAGCCCTCTTCCCCTCCAGTTTGTGGGGTGACCTGGGTATTACCCCACCCCCGGCTCTGTAGCTTCCCTTAAGCCAGGCCTCTCCCCCCTCCCCCCACAACCAGCTGCAGGCTTGTTCAGAGCAGTGTTTTATTCCTTGCTCCCTCCCTGGTAAGGCTAGTGCTCTACCACTTGAGCCACAGCACCACTTCCGGTTTTCTGGTGGTTCGTTGGAGATAAGAGAGACTCATGGACTTTCCTGCCCAGGCTGGCTTTGAGCAATGATCCTCAGATCTCAGCCTCCTGAGTAGCTAGGATGACAGGCGTGACCACCGGCCCCAGGCCTGAGAATTTTGAAGCTGCCTGCCCAGGTCTACAAGTGTGGCAGAGCCACAGAGTCTGCCTTCCTGCAGACTCTGGCTGTGCGCGGGGAGCTCCGGACGCAGCCTCTGGGGCTGGAGGGAAGAGCAGCCCAGCCGGCCCCAGACCTGCCGCCCTTCTGTGCACATACTCCTCAAAGCTGGGCTGCTGCCAAGCACCCATGGCTCATGCCTGCCATCCCAGCTACTCAGGAGAGTGAGATCTTGAGGATCGTGGTTCAAAGCCAATCTGGGCAGGAAAGTCCATGAGACTCCGATCTCCAACAAACCACTAAAAATCTGCAAGTGTTGCTGTGGCTCAGAGGGTAGAGCATTAGCCTTGAGCACTAAAGCTAATGGACAGCGCCCAGGGCTTTGAGTTCAAGCCCCAGGACTAGCACAAAATAATAATAATAATAATAATAGGGCTGGGAATGTGGCTCAGTGGTAGAGTGCTTGCCTAGCAAGCATGAAGCCCTGGGTTCGATTCCTCAGTACCACATATACAGAAAAAGCCAGAAACAGAGCTGTGGCTCAAGTGGTAGAGCACTAGCCTTGAGCAGAGAGAGGCTCATGGACCGTGTGCAGGCCCTGAATTCAAGACCCAGGGCAGGCAAAAAAATAAAATTAAGTACTTAATTGGTAATAATAATAATAAATAAAGCTAGGCTTTTTGTCTGATCAGCCGTCAACCAGATCCAAACACACGCACCTCCGGGGTCTTGCCTCAGTGACACCGAAGCCCTCCCCCCCTCGCTCTTAAAGCCGCCCCTTGCTGTGTCCCCTGCAGTTTCCAGTGCATCCCAGTTCGCGGGTGTCATCCACTGGATCAGCCTGGCCATTCTATCCGTGTTCTTCTCCGAGGTGAGTACACACAGGCCCGTGGGTTCCTCTTCCTCAGGGACGCCTCTCCCCGGGGCACCCCCCAGTTGGCATCACAACAACGCTCAGTGTCGGGGCTGGGAAGGTGGCTCAGTGGTAGGGTGCTTGCCTTGCATGCCTGAGGCCCTGGGTTCGATTCCTCAGCATCACATAAGCAAAAAGAAAAAAGCCGGAAGTGGTGCTGTGGCTCAAGTGGTAGAGCGCTAGCCTTGAGCTGAAGAGCTGAGGGACAGCGCCCAGGCCCAGAGTTCAGGCCCCACGACCAACCAAAAAAACAAAACAAAACAAAACAATGCTCAGTGTCTATTATCCTGGCATTCCTCACCCCCCCACCTACACACACACCAACTATGGGAGCTGAGCTCCACCAAGGAAAAAAAAATGATCACAGATTTAGGAGCCACAGAGACCCAGGGGTCAGAGGTCAGCACCCCAGAGAAGGTTTGGCCCTGAGTGGAATCCCAGGATTTGGCAGGTGTTGTCTGGCTGAGGGATGGATTCACAGCCAGCCTGAGCAGGAAAGTCCATGAGACTCTTATCTCCAATGAACCACTCAGAAAACCGGAAGTGGTGCTGCGGCTCAAATGGTAGAGCACTAGCCTTGAGCTGAAGAACTGAGGGACAGCGCCTAGGCCCTGAGTTCAAGACCCACCACTGACAAAAAGAAGGAGGAGGAGGAAGAGGAAGAAGAAAAAGAGGAGGAGGAGGAGGAGTTGGGGGTTGGTGGGGAGCTGGCAGGAAGCTGTTCAGGCGTCACAGCCCAGGCCCAGACGACAGTCAGTGTGAGCCTTAGTGCTGGGCAGTAAGCTCCATGTCAGCCTCCAGGGAGATCGGGACTGGCCAGGCCGAGAGAGGTGCACAGTGCCAGAGCCTGAAGCTAAATAAAGACCATACTTGAAAAGGTTCCTCTCTGGGTGACAGCGGCTGACACCTGTCATCCCAGCTACTCAGGAGGCTGAGCTCTGAGGATCACAGTTCAAAGCCAACCTGGGCAGGAATTCTGTGAGTCTTTTTTTTTTTCTTCCAGTTTTTGACTGGTTAATTGGACATAAGAGTCTCCAAGAGGGCTAGGAAGGTGGTTCAGGGGTAGAGCGCTTGCCTCGCATGCATGAGGCCCTGGGTTCGATTCCTCAGCATCACATACACAGGAAAAGCCACAAGTGGCGCTGTGGCTCAAGTGGTAGAGCACTAGCCTTGAGCAAAAGGGCTTAGAGACAGCGCTCAGGCCCTGAGTTCAAGCCACAAGACTGACAGATGGAAGGGAGGGAGGAAGGAAGGAAGGAAGGGAGGAAGGAAGGAAGGAAAAAAGGAAGGCAGCCAGCCAGCTAGCCAGGGAGTTGACCTTGAACCTGGCTCTCAGCTCTGATTGCAGGAACAGCTACGTTCTTCCTGGATCTTTCCCGAACAGCTCACCGTGAGCTATTGTCCTAGGCAGGGATGGGGCACTGTGCTAAGGCCCCCCCAAAACAACCTGTCCCCCCATTTTGGTACCCCATGAGAATCGCACCCTCCCCAGCTGCTCACCCCATCTCCCTGGAATTCCCTCCTGCACATCTCCCGGGCCAGATGTCTCCCAGGGAAACCCTGCGGATGGCGCCGATGGCGGCCGCACTTGCCAACACAAATGTTTGCTCAGTCGCCCTCGCTCTTTCTCTCTCGCCTCCTGCTTTGCCTTCTATTGCTTTTGGCAGGATTTATTATCCAGCATGAATTTAGAATTCCCTTCCTGTCACCCCCCCCCCCCCGCATCCCCCCACACCCCCCCCCACCGCACCAGACAGCAGCCACCTGAAACACACAAAGCCCTGTACGCAGGACTCACAACCTCAAACCCCCCCACTCCCCCCTCGTGGACCCCCAAAAGTAGGGAGCACACTGGGGCTTCCCACAGTCCCAGCTTCAGTCTTTATGAGAAAAAAACAAAACAAAACAATGCACATAACAGCCCCGATAGCTCGCACCTGCAATCCCAGGGACTCGGGAGGCTGAGGTCTGAGGATCACAGCTCACAGCCAGCCTAGGCAGGAAAGTCCATGAGACTCTTGTCTCCAACGAACCAGCAAAAAACCGGAAGCAGAGGCGTGGCCCAAGTGGTAGAGCAACAGCTATTAGGCAGTGCCCAGGCCCTCAGTTCAAGCCTCAGGACTGTCACACACAAAACAATGCACAGATAGGCAGGCGCTGGTAGCTCACGCCTGTAATCCTAGCTACTCAGGAGGCTGAGATCTGAGGATCGAGGTTCAAAGCCAGCCCAGGCAGGAAAGCCCACAAGACTCTTATCTCCAATAAACCACCATAAAACCAGAAGTGGCGCTGTGGCTCAAGTGGTAGAGCGCTCACCTTGAGCTGAAGAGCTGAGGGACAGTGCCCAGGCCAAGTCCAAGCCCCACGACCAATAAAAATTAATAAATAGATAAAATAAATCTAAGCAAGAAAGCTGTCTGAGCCAGGACGCCCAGCCTTCCCTCCCTGCCTGGGAGAGACCAATGCTGCTCTGGGTGCTGGCCCTTCCTTCTTTGCTCTTCCCAGGGTGGGCAGCTGGGAGCCAGGGCCAGGGGTCACTCCTGTTCTGCTTAGTCTTAGCAAGCAGGCCGCAGCTCCCAGGAAAATTCCAGAAAGGTCAGATCCCAAGGCCTCCCCCAGGTCCTGGAGCCCTCAGCCTGGTTCCAAGCCAGTTTCCCCTGTCTTTTCGTCCAGGCCTTAACACAACCCTGGAAAGAAGGCTACCGTTTGGGAAACTGAGGCCCACCTGGGGCCTGCAGGAGTGACACAGACTCCAACCTCTGTGATGGGTACATCTTTTTTTTTTTTTTTGTCAGTAGTGGGGCTTGAACTCAGGGCCTAGGCGCTGTCCCTCAGCTCTTCAGCTCAAGGCTAGCGCTCTACCACTTGAGCCACAGTACGACTTCCGGTTTTCTAGTGGTCCATTGGAGATAAGAATCTCATGGCCTTTCCTGACCAGGCTGGCTTTGAACCGTGATCCTCAGATCTCAGCCTCCTGAGTAGTTGGGATGACGGGTGTGAGCCACTGGTGTCCAGCAAGACGTTGTACTCTTGGTTAACTTTTCTCTTAGCTTGTTCACTCTACCACTCGAACCACACCTCTACTTCCAGGTTTTGGGGGGGATTGGGGGAGCTCATTGGAGATAAGAGCCTCAGGGACTTTCCTTGCCCAGGCTGGCTTTGAACCGTGATCCTCAGATCTCAGCCTCCTGAGTAGCTGGGATGACAGGGGCGGCTGTAGACTCTTTGGGCATGGTGAAGCAAAGCTCCGGGATCAGAGCTCTAGAATCTTCTGTGCTGGCGGCAGAGGGGAAGAGGGAAGAGGCAGAATAGTAACGGCTTTCTTCCCTCCCTTTCTTCAGACCGTGCTTCGGATTGTGGTGCTGGGCATCTGGGATTACATCGAAAATAAAATAGAGGTAAAAAGCAATGTCTGACACTCGCTAGCCCCCAACCCACACAACCCAGCATGAGAACAAAAGAAAACAAAAAAAACGCAGGCCAGAGCCAGGTGCTGGTGTACATGCCTGTAATCCCAGCTACTCAGGAGGATCAGATCTGAGGATTGCTGTTTAAAGCCAGCCAGGGCTAGAAAGTCTGTGAGACTTTTATCTCCAATTGACTATCAAAAGGCTGGAAATAGACGTGTAGCTCAAGGGATAGAACTTGATTGAAAAAGCTCAGGGACTCTGCACAGGCATGAGTTCAAGCCCCAGGACCAGCACACACACAAAACAAAAACCAAGCCAGCTCCTTCCTATCCTAGACTACAGGAGTCTCTTGGTGTTTGGGATTGTTATGGTGGAGTGAGGTGAGGTGGACAGAGGCCATTTCCAGCAAAGGGACTTCTGAAAGCAATCTCCTTAAAATCCTATAAAACACAACAAGTTCTATCTGAATCCATTTGCAAAGCTTTTGTGATGCATTTTAAAATCAATAAATCCATTCTAAAATGGCCCAAGGGTCCAGATACTGAACAGCCAGGCTCTAAACTTGTCTCTCAGCCTGGAGTTCTGGTGCACCTTGGACAAAGGGGTCTGAGGCCGGCGCCCGTGGCTCATGCCTGGAATCCCAGCTGCTCGGGAGGCTGAGATCTGAGGATCACAGATCGAAGCCATCCCAGACAGGAGAGTCCCTGAGACTCTTTATCTCCAATGAACCACAAACAAAAAAGTCAGAAGTGGTGCTGTGGCTCAAGTTGGTAGAGCACTAGCCTTGAATGAAAAAAAAAAAGCTCAGAGACAGGGCTCAGGTCCTGAGTTCAAGCCCCAAGACCAGCCAAACCACCAGGAGAAGGGACAGGATGGCTCCAGGTCATTTGAATGGAGGGATGGCCATGGATGAAGGTCACTTAGAGGGCAGAGAGCAGGGAGCCTGTGGGGGAGGGACCAGAGGAGGTCCTTCAGGGCCGAGGCCAGTCAGGACCGGAAGTGGGGTGTCTTTATGACAGAGTACAGCCCCCCCCCCACTTTGTGGAGGCTGGTCAGTGCCCCCTGCCTGCCTGTCTGCTCTGAGACACCCTCTCCCCCCAGCCATGAGCACTGACTCCAACCACCCCCCGCCAGGTGTTCGACGGAGCCGTGATCATTCTGGCCTTGGCTCCCATGGTCGCCTCCACAGTAGCCAACGGGCCCAGGAGCCCCTGGGACGCCATCAGCCTCATCATCATGCTACGCATCTGGCGGGTGAAGAGGGTCATCGACGGTGAGTGACCCAAGGAGTGTCTCCTTTTGAGGGGGGGGGGGGACTGGGGGACAGGGCTGAGAGCAGATTGTGGTTTGAGGCTATCCTGAACAAAGTTAGCAAGACACCCTCCCCTCCCACTCCACCTCAACTAATGAGTTGGATATGGTGATACATGCCTGTAAGCCCGGCTCCCTGAGAGGCATAAATAGGAGGATTACAGTCCAAGATTCTATCTGAAAAAATAACTAAAGCCAGCTGGGGCAGGAAAGTCCGTAAGACTCTGATCTCCAATGAACCACCAGAAAACCAGAAGTGGCGCTGTGGCTCAAGTGGTAGAACGCTCACCTTGAGCTGAATTGCTCAGGGACAGCGCCCAAGCCCAGAGTTCAAGCCTCATGCCTGACTAATAATAATAATACTAATAAGGAAAACAAGGAAGTCCCAAGGTTTGGGTACAAGTGGTAGAATGCCCGCTGGAACGAGCAGAAGGCCTCAAGTTCAAAGCCCAGTGCTGTCTGTGCTGCAAAACTCAGCACTGGCTCTGTAGGTCAGGTTGTCTGGCCCAGGCCTCAATCCTGCATGGCCAGTCCCACCTGATGTCTATCAGGGAGCAGCAAAAGACACCTCTGTGGCTGCTGATAGCCTGGTGGGCTGCACTTTAATGCCGACGCAGCTCCACCCCTGGGCCTCCATCCCCCAGGGTGGGGCAGATTCTCTTCTTGGTTGCCATGGAAACCAGGTCTGCCCTCCCCCACAGCTCCAGTGTCTGGAGAGCAGGGCTCAAACCCCAGGTCCTCCTGGCACCCCAGAGCATCTTAAAGATGTTGCCAGGTCACCGAGGACCACTGAGGCACACGCCAACTTCCTTCTTTGGTCCTGAATCTAACTGTAAAGAACACAGACTGGGTCAGCCTAGCTACTCAGGAGACTGAGATCAGAGGATCCCGGTTCAAAGCCAGCTCAGCCAGGAAAGTTCATGAGACTTTTTTTTTCCCCCCAGCCCTAGGGCTTGAACTCAGGGCCTGGGTGTTGTCCCTGAGCTCTTTTGTTCAAGATTGGCACTCTACCACTTGAACCACAGCTCCACTTGTGGTTTCTTGCTGGTTCATTGGAGATAAAGAGTCTCACAAGATTTTCCTGTCGGGGCTGGCTTTGAACTGGGATCCTTGGATCTCAGCCTCCTGAGTAGCCAGGGTGACAGGCATGAGCCACCAACACCCGGCATTTTCTAGAGCCAGAGGGGACTATGAATAGGACTATCAGACTCCATGACAGAGGAAGAAGCCATGGTGGGTGTTCCAGAGATCTCTAAACCCCAGTCCCTGCGTTGTTAGCCTCCACCCAACGCTAGGCCTTACCCTACCAGGTCAAGCACTGATGACCCTCCTTCACTCACTGCTTCCCATCTCTCCCACAGCTGGGATTACAGACATGAGCCACCATACTTGGTTTTGTTGTTGTTTTGTTTTGTTTACAGTTAGAGCTCGATAACTTTTGCTTAGGTGGGCCTTGAGGCTGGATCCTCCCTCCTACCTCTATTTCCGGATCTGCTGAGATTAGAGGCATGAGCCACTGTGCCTGGCCTACCTTTTCTTTTTCAACATTTTTACTGAGTTAAAATTCACATGTCATCAAAGGCTCCTGGAAGTTTCGACATGTTCTTTCCACTGGCATCTGTCTTTCAGAATGTGTCCCATGGCTTAGTCCCAGCCACAAAGGGGACCAGAGCATAGTTGTTAGTCTAGGCATCTGGACATACTGCCTCAAAATAAGGACTCTATCACTGTGAAAAACAAGAAGAAACAGCCAGGCCCCAATGGTCCCAACCTGTCATCCCGGCTACTTAGGAGGCTGAGATCTGAGGATCGCAGTTCAAAGCCAGCCCAGCCAGCAAAGTCCATGAGACTCCTATCTCCAGTGAACCCCCAGAAAACCGAAAGTGGCGCTGTGGCTCAAGTGGTAGAGCACTAGCCTTGAATGAAAGAGCTGAGAGACAGCGCTCAGGCCCTGAGTTCAAGCCCCACGACTGACCAAAAGAAAAAGAAGAAACAGATCTTGGGGACCCTCTGGACACAGCCCTCAGGGGGCATGCTCCCCCCAGGGAAGTGGGGGGGTGCTTGGGAGCTGTTGCCAAGCACTGGGCAGACCCCGCCCCACCCCAGCCCAGTGCTGCCCAAATCCCACCACAGCCCATCCTCACCACAGCTGGCCCTGTCTTCCAGCCTACGTCTTGCCAGTCAAGGTAGAGATGGAGGCCGTCATCCAGCAGTACGAGAAGGCCAAGGTCATCCAGGACGAGCAGCTGGAGAGACTGACGCAGATCTGTCAGGAGCAAGGGGTAAGGGGTCCCTTCCTGTCCCAGCCTTCCTGGAGACACTAGAACTAAAAGACACCAGGGCTCAGGGGGCCAGAGCACAGAGAAGCCCTCTCAGCCATGGTCTGACTCCTGGGGACCCAGAGAAAGAGGGGAGCCCCTCTCCTGTCACTCACGCCAGGCCTGCGCTCAGCCCTGACTCCCAAACCACAGGCCTGAGCATTGCACCCCAGCAATCCCTCAGTGGGGTCCCTCAAATGAGGGGTGGACAGTGCCATACGTGGAGCGCTATGGGGCGCCGCTGTGTGCCAGTCCCACTCAGGATGCGCATGTCCAGCAAAAGCCCTGATTCAAAGCGATGAAGAAGCCGGGCACCAGTGGCTCACGCCTGTCATCCTAGTTACTCAAAAGACTGAGATCTGAGGATCAAGGTTCAAAGCCAGCCCGGGCAGGAAAGTCCCTGAGACTCTTATCTCCAGTTAACCACCAGAAAACCAGAAGTGGCGCTGTGGCTCAAGTGGTAGAGCGCTCACCTTGAGCTGAAGAGCTGAGGGACAGCGCCCAGGCCCAGAGTTCAAGCTCCATGACTGACAAAGAGAAAGAAAAGAAAGCAAGCAAGCTCTGGGAAAGCCAGGCCCTATGGCTCACACCTATAATCCCAGCTACTCAGGAGGCTGAGATCTGAGGATCATGGTTCAAAGCCAGCCTGCCCCAGGCAGGAAAATCCATGAGATTCTTATCTCCAATGAACCACCAAAAAGTTGGAAGTGGAGGTATGGCTCAAGTGGGAGGACACCAGCCCGATTTAAAAAAAAAAGCTAAGGGACAGTGCTCAGGTGCTGAGGTTGAGCCCCAGGAGCAACCCAAAGACAAAACAAAAGAAAACAAAAGAACTCTGGAGGAAGTAGTTTGCGCAGCTCACAGTGGCGCAGGCCCGGCCCAGCGCTCTGGTCACGGGAGGGGGCGGGGGTTGGCAGCTGTGAGTCCAGTGTCCCCCACAGCCAAGAGTCAAGTGGGGAGGATGTCACCACACAGTGATCTGGGAACTGTCCCCAAAGGGACACACATGTGCACACACACACAGACACAAATACAGACCCACAGACACACACAGACACATACACAAACACACACACAGACAGACACACATATTGTTCAAAAACCAGACACTTGGACTCCCTTCCCCTGCCCCCTCTCTCTGTCTCTCCTGTCTCTCTTCTCTCCCTCTCTGTCCTGGGGCTTGAACTCAGGGCCTGGGCGCTGTCCCTGAGCTTTTTGTTCAAGGCTAGCTCTCTACCACGTGAGCCACAGCGCCACTTCCGGTTTTCTGGCGGTTCATTGAAGAGCAGAGTCTCATGGGACTTTTCTGCCCAAGTTGCCTTTGAACCTCGATCCCCAGATCTCAGCCTCCTGAGTAGCTAGGATAACAAGTGTGAGGCACCTGTCATGTTGGTAGATCTTTTTGGTCCATCTTTCTGGCTGCTGCTGGGGGTGGGCAGAAGAGGGGACAGGAAGCTCTCTTGGGGGGCTTGAAGGACCTCCCTGGGTGACTGGACCAAAGGGGAAAGGGCAGTTACGAAAATCGCCCCCAAACTGGCTGACCAATGATCAAGTGGTTCTCAAGCCACTGGCTAACAAGAAGACAGGCAGACAAGGCTGCATCTGCCGCCTTTAGTCCCAGCCAGGCAAGAGGACACGCCCACTCTGTCACACATGCTGCCTCTTCCCTGGGTCTGGGCCGCAGGACCCAGAACAAACCATGCTGGCACACACCTCTCACGGCTTCTGCCAGGTCCCCGGTCCCGGATCCCAGGCTCCTGCCGTGAGAACTCAAGCCACTGGTCACAGGTAGCCTCCCGGCGGGGGGGGTGGGGGGGGGACAGGGGGCCCAAGGGAGGTTCCCCTGATTTGGCACACAAAAGACCCACCCATAAATAAAGACACGGTTCCCTCCTGGAGACGCATCTGGAAAAGAAATGTGTGAAGCTAAAGCATTTTAATTTAAAATGCACCTGACGCCTGTCATCTTCAGATAGCCAGAAGGACAGATGGCTGGAACCCCAGTAGCCTTGGGGAGGGTAGGAGGTGATCTGAATAGAGCCGGTTATTTATAAGACTTCTGTAGAGAAATCAAGAAAGTCTGTGTCCGAAGCTGGGTGCCCACACCCTAGGGGGACAGAGAGACGCAGCCTTTCCAGACTTAGTCTGGGCAGAGATTCAAGACTTAACTGGAGCTGGGCACTGGTAGCTCACACCTGTCATCCTAGCTACTCAGGAGGCTGAGATCTGAGAATCATGGTTCAAAGCCAGCCCAGGCAGGAAAGTCTGTAAGACTCTTATGTCCAATGAACCACCAAAAAAAGCCAGAAGTAGAACTGTGGCTCCAAGTGGTACAGAACTAGCTTTGAGTACAAAAGCTCAGGGACAGCCTCCAGGCCCTGAGTTCAAGCCCTGGGACTAACACCAACAATAAAAAAATCCGCCATGACAGGAGTCTGATGCTTCTAACAGTGCCAATCTAGCAGGAGGCCCAGTCCCCCAAGACGGTTCATCCTGAAGAAACAGGTAAGACTCTTACCCCAAGCACGAGGCATTTCTGTGGGAAAAGTAGAGCAGATGATGTGCTGCCATCCCCGCTCTGGTCCCAGAGCCCTGGAGATTCAGGGAGGCCAGACTGGGAACTAAGTGCCCTCCGACTCCAGCCTGGCCTGGCTCCCATCCTAGTTTCCAACATCCTGAGAGAAACCCAGAAACTTTGCCCACATCCCTCCCCTGTGAGGCTGGGCGTACAGCTGGAAGGCGGGGCCAAAGGGCAAGAAGGAAGAAGAACACATGAAGAAAGGGATTTCCTGTCCTAACTCTGGGCATACGCTCTCTCTGAAAAAGTTCCTTCTTTCCCAACCTCAAAGCCCTGGCTCAGCACAACAGCCTTTGTTACTCAGATTAGTCAGGAATCACTAGAAGGCTGGGCACCAGTGGCTCACACCTGTCATCCTAGCTACTCAGGAGGCTGAGATCTGAGGATCAAGGTTCAAAGCCAGCCTGTCAGGAAAGTCAGAGACTCTTATCTCCAATAAACCACCAGAAAACCGGAAGTGGCGCCATGACTCAAAGTGGTAGAGAGCTCGCCTTGAGCAAAAGAGCTCAGGGACAGCGCCCAGGCCCTGAGTTCAAGCTCTGGGACTAACCAAAAAGAAGAAGAAAGGAGGAGGAGGAGGAGGAGATGGAAGAGGAGGAGGAGAAGTGATGTTTATTATTATTATTTTCCCAAAACGTGAGAAGTGATTTGTAAAAACAGCCCAGAATATTCCTGACAAGCCTATTTTTCTATTGAGCTGCTAGCCACCAGAGGAATTTGTTTCCATATACTTTGCCATCTCTTAAATGCATGGCCATCCCCCAGCCATCTCCACGATGAACCGAGAGGGGTCAAGATCAATTTCCTCTTCGCCTCACCCCTACATCATTCCTTTGCAACCGTCTCCTGACGTGTGTGTGTGTGTGTGTGTGTGTGTGTGTGTGTGTTACTAACAATGGCAAAACTAATGGAAATCAACATTGGCTGCCCTCCCAAATGGGAGCTGGTTGTGCAGGCCGGACCACCTGTCCCGGCTGCATTAAGAGGCCGGAACAGAACTGATCGCTCCACGCCATCAAGCTTCTGGCCAGAGTGGGCATCGATTAGGCCAAGGTCAGTGTCAAGCGGACGCTGCGCAGAGACCATTAAAGGCTGGGAGAAGCGCTGGGCGTGGCCTCACGGGGGGGGGGGGGGGGGGGGGGGGGGCACACATTAAGAGCCCCGCCCACCCGAGGGCGGGCTTGCTTCAGTAATGCGCTCTCACCAGCCTGATTGGAAATACTTAGCTAATGCCTTGCGTAAGTGGGGCTGGGATTGCACTTTGCTCTTCCATCCTCTGGGGAGGGTGTTTTGTTTTTCTTTTTTTTTTCCTCATTGCAACAGACCTGTTTACCGTGGAAGATTTGCTCCGTTGTGTCTCACAGTGGCTGTGGCTATGGCCCTTCTATGTCAGAACCGCACCCCCCCCCAGACCCCCCACCAGAACCTGAGGGCTAGGGGGTTTCTTCTGTTTTTGGCTACAGGGTTGGTGAGGTGTGCAGTTTTGATATGTTGTTGTTGTCCTGTTGAAAAGTATCACAGTATCCTGAATCTGCATAGCTGATGTTTTTCAGTGGATTTGTAATATTTGGGGGGAAAGGCGTGGTGATTATTTTTCTTTTTTGTACCAGGACCAACCAGGACTTGGGGCGCTGTCCCTCAGCTCTTCAGCTCCAGGCAAGTGCTCTACTACTTGAGTCACAGAACTACTTGCCGTTTTCTGGTGGTTTACTGGAGATTAGAGTCTCCTGGACTTTTCTGCCCAGGCTGGCTTTGAACCACGATCCTCAGATCTCAGCCTCCTGAGTAGCTAGAATGACAGGCATGAGCCACCAGCGCCTAGCTTTGGATATTTTTTTTGGAGGGGGGTGTCCGGTCGTGGGGCCTGAATCCTGGGCCTGGGCGCTGTCCCTCAGCTCTTCAGCTCAAGGCTAGCGCTCTATCGCTTGAGCCACAGCGCCACTTCTGGCTTATTTCTTTTTGCTTATGTGGTGCTGAGGAATCGAACCCAGGGCCTCATGCATTGCAAGGCAAGCGCTCTGCCACTGAGCCAACTTCCCGGCCCAGCTTTGGATATTTTTATAGACCTCTCTTTGAGTGCTTTTACTCTGTCCAGTCTTCAATTTTAGGTATTGTCTAATAAGGCTCTACAAGTGTGACTTGATTTCCATTGGCAGATTCTAATTCTTTGCTAGAAATGCAGGATCCATAGCCTGATGTAGTGATCCTAGCTACTCAGGAGGCAGCATGGGAGGATTGAGGCTTAAAGCCACTCCAAGCAAGAAGTTAGAGACTCCATCTCAACCAAGAGAAGACCAGGTACAGTGCTATGTACCCGTCTTCCCATCTATATGGAAAGCCGTACATAAGAGGATTATAGTCTGTACCAGCCCAAGGAAAAATGTGA